GTTTCCCTGAAGAATGCCAAAATAAATCAAATTCGCCTTTTTGTACTGCTTGCTCGGAAATTATAACTTTTCATGGAGACGCTCAATCGGAGCAAACTTTGCACTGTTAGAAAGAGTTGGTGAAAGAACCTAAAATACCGACTGCTCCGATTTTGTTGCAAGTTTCTGATTTTTTATGACCCTACACAAAAATTCAAATTCCGAGTGATTTTGTTTGAGCTTCTATCTATGCAAGAGATGACCATTACTAAGCAGATGGGATGTCATTACAAAGAGCATGACTTACCCTTTCACATAAAAGTGAAAGCAGTCAAATCGGTTGGAAAAATCAGAAGTTATGAATTTTTGAAAATTGTGCTCAAAAACTTTCGGGACGACCTATACAATGTGTTGGCTTTTATGGGTTACCGGAGAAAATGATTTTTAGAGCCGGGAAGCAAAGAAGCCCTAACATGCTGTATACCATTCGAAAGCTGAGATCATGGAGAATCGACGTAGACCGTCGACTTTTTTCTAGGTCTTCTGTGCCGCGAGATATGAGGGATTTTATGTGCTTCAAAAATTAACTGATTTTGTGTCCTCACTTTCTGCTCTCCAAATGAATGCTACGAGAAAGTCGACGGTCTACGTTTGTTAATGAAGACTTGCTCTTTAACACAGATAGATAAGCAGCAGTGATTAGGTCTTCATTTGGCAGAAATCTGCTGTTGAAAATGACCATGTTTTCAGATAAAATGCAGTGTATCTCTCGGTAGAGGGGGGCTAGAAAGAAGTCGACGGTCTAGGTCGAATCCCCTTTTCCTAAGCTTTCGAATGGTATATAGGTTGCTGGGCGAAAAAACGGACCAGTTTTCAAAAATGGGGTGGAGATATTTACTATTAGCTTGCTCCAATCCGGCTCCACCAATGTATTGGCTTTTATCGGTTACCGGAGAAAATGATTTTTAGAGCCGGGAAGCAAAGAAGCCCTAACATGCTGTATACCATTCGAAAGCTGAGATCATGGAGAATCGACGTAGACCGTCGACTTTTTTCTAGGTCTTCTGTGCCGCGAGATATGAGAGATTTTATGTGCTTCAAAAATTAAGTGATTTTGTGTACTTACTCTCTTCTCTCCAAAATGCTACGAGGATAAATAAATAATATAAATAAACATAAATACCGTTTCTTTAGTAAATTTATGAGTGTACTTGTTGTTTGAGGTACCTAGCCTGCTTTTCATAACGATTTTTATCATATTCTCAGAGTACGATACCAATCTCAGCCCAGGTGAAGGGGGTCATCGGGAGTTTGGCCTCAAAGTGAAGGGGGTAAGATCCATCACTCTCCCTATCGCAACTATGTTTCGAACCCGTAAACCCTCACTTGCTTTGTAAAATTAATGCTAACTCATAGTACCATCTTGGAAGTCTCAAACTTCTATTAATTATCATGTTTTATGTGATTGTGGCTGAGGTGGGCCTGCCAAAATTCGATGGTTCTGTTAAAAAAACCTTTAAAAAAATTACGGTGAACTATGAAAAAGAGAAAAAAGGTGATCTGTATTCTATGAGGTTTGTTCTATCGAATCGTTACTTGAACTCCTTTTAAGAATTAATACGAAAATTTTAAAAAATCGTGAAACTTGACCATCTCAAAAAGCATAGGCCGCAGATTTAGGTTATTTTTTGAAAGCTCATTGACTATGCTGCAATAATTTTATAATCGTTAGTAAGAGGATGAAATGCTGCATCGAATGCCTTCAAAATCTTTTAGAAATCTTTGTTACATCACATGTGGCGCCCGTTTGAGAAAAGCGAAATTACTTTCGGAATGACCTAATAGGTACTGATCTAGCAAGGAGCAGAGAACTAAGTGAAAACATTGGGCAACTGAGAAAATTTTCAAGACTAGGGGTATAGATGTAGGGCAGCAGCGATGTAATCGTCAATAATTGTTGCGCACAGCAATTGTGCGTGTGTCACGCCATAACTGCAATTATAACACATCAAAGAGAACAGTTTTTTGGGGTGAAAGCGGTCAAGAATGTCATTCGACCCGCAGGAAATGGTAACGATGTCTTGGTGACGAGTGAAAGTCAATGAACAACGAATGGCATAGCAAAACCAGTATCACCCTTGGAATTCGTGTAATGTTGAAGAAGAATGTCATAGCGCTACTAGCTCTGGCATGACTGCTAAATGGAAGAAATGGTTTTGAGAAAAAATATGAACATATTATAGATTCCTTCCAGAAACAAGTCATTTACAATATACTTAAATTTTACAGACTTCCAAAAATTCCGATGACTTTTTTGTACAAGGGCGAAGACGAATAAGTGTTGCGGTGATCGAAAAAAAGGAACAATATGTAACTTTTCCATCCCATTCTCACGATATCCAAGAAAAAGGTATAAGAACCTTGTATGAAGATCAAGAACGGATTTTAGCATGCGCAATGCACATTTTCTGAGATAGTGAGGTTTGAGAAGCATTACATAGCCCCTTCGCTCTTGCAGAAAAGTTATGGGAATTTTATGAGTGACTTGTTCTTATTTTAAAGACTGAAAATCAGGTTTTGAAAAACTTGGGCTCTTTATTCAGAGCCTCAACGAGTTCATAAGCCTGCGAAAAATTTGAGAATATCAAGGTTGTCAAAATGTGGTATAATGCCCCTTTCTTCAAAAGAAATTCTAAAATATTAGGGCGGGGGACGAGTGGCGTAGTGGTATGAGGCGCCGCTATGACCAGATCGGACACAGGGATCCCCGCCCCTGGGCCAACCAAGCCCTCTATCCTCCAGGGCCGGTAAATTGGTACCAGAGTAATCTGGGAGGATAAAAGCACTGACTTGGAACGGCTGGCCCCCGCAAGTCACTGTAATAGGCTCGCACGCATACAATTGCCTCTTCGACCATGAAGTTAGTTGCATTCGGCGCATGCCCTCAGAGGGTATTGAAGACGCCGAATCCTCTATCCTTTATCCTTTAACTATTAGGGCCGGTCATACTTCACGCGATTTCAGTCGCGACGCGATTTGGCAGTTCGCCAGATGTCTTTAGATTCAACACTAGCAAACTGCACATGCATAATGTGTATAACTTACGTGAATTGATGAAATGCCCTATTTGCCGTACATTCAGAAACCCCTTACAGTGAGTTATGGACAGTTGGAATATTGCCAAATCGCGTCGCGACTGAAATTGCGTGAAGTATGCCCAGCCCTATTCCAAAATTATTTTTGTGTGGTAACCACTAAAGGTGATTTACTCCCATTAGATGATTGCGGAAATTTTTTTTAAAGGAAAGGAATAGCAAGCATACGAAAAACCTACATCTTAACATTACCAAGCTCTTATCTCCTTGTGCAAGGCTAATTAGCTCCTCCTTACGGATCGAAATGATCACTGAAGCGATCATTAGCCAGTGTGACTAGTGTTTTGATTTGATCGAAACAGGATGCAAAACCGCATTTGCGCAGTTTTTCAAGGTTACCGTCGAAAAAGCGAAGGCAACACCCTGTTCGATTCATGATTGATGATGGACTTTTGCTACGATCAAAGGCTAATGAGAAGAAAATATGACGAGGAGACGTAAAGCTGGACACTTTGAGATTGTCGAAAATGAATGGTAAAGTAAAACAAAGTGCATTTAAAGCCATTCCTCCGCTTATGCAAGGTCACGATAAAAGCTGTACCATTATGTGAAAGTTGAGGGGTTTTGTGGTTTCAGATTAGCTCGCTTTCCAGTATACAAGTCTATAGCCCTGACCTGCCGTCAGTTTAGCAAAAAAGAACCAGGGCCTGTAGTGATGCAAATTTCATCATTGAGCTAAAAATGTACATGACATCAATTTCTACCTCGATTTGCAGCCTCCAAACTGGTATGTTCTAGGGTTCGGTATGTTTCAAAACAGGTAATTCCGCATAAAGTAAGATTTGTCTTCAAGCTTCAATTGTTAGAAACGAGCGCGGCTAACCAGCGGTTTATCTCGCAAAATTATGCTAGGCTAGTTTAGACATATAATTAAGTAGCAAATTTTAGAGACTAACTTTGAAATAATAAACAAACACTTTTATCTAAGCCCTTTTTTGATCAGACATATTTTGTTAAGATATAGCAGATGCACAACAGATAAGAAGATTAGTTCAAAAGGGCGTGAATATTGATACCTGGTAGTGTGTTTTCATAGAAGCCTAGAAATGTGGGTCGTGGAAAAACAGGAGGATAATTGGCTAACCTTTGTGTTAACAATCGGATGTGTAAAACAAAGTATTCAATAATGTCATGGACTTCTTCCAAGAGATAACATTGGGAGAAGTAAAAGTAAACCTGTCCACTGAGAAGGCTACTCTTCTCTAAAATAAAAATGAGTTGAGACTTCAACCATCAAATTTTATAAAAAATTCGCTGACCCAGCTAAATTTTAGCACCGTAAGAATCGATCACAAACAGAAGGGAGAAGTCATAGCATTAGCTACTAATAAAGACCTCTGCTGAGAAAGCAACCTCGTATACAAACCGTACGATGAGCCAGCAGAATTTCAGGTGAAAGAATTAGGACGATTCAAGCAACAGTGCAGCAGCTGCGCGTAATGGTGTCTCGTACTATGCAAGAATGGCTGAGGATAGAGGGAGAAAAGGGAGGTAGCCGGTTTTGGAAACCTGTACGCTGGCTAAAATTACGCTTCGACGGCCTATTCTAGCCTTATTCGCTCAAGAAAAAGTCAATTCCTTTTTCCTCAGCAGTATGTGAGGTGAATAAGCGCGAAAGTTGCACATGTTTTCATGGTTTGTAAAAAAAAAACATTCTCAAAGCGAGAATGGGAAAGCATGGGAATTCTACTCATAGGCATGAAAAAATCTCCAAAAAACTTTGCCAAAAAAGGTCTGCTGCCAAAGAGTCTGGGACTAAAGCATTCGGTTTTACGAAAGCCATTTTTTCTCAGATTTGCCGAAAATTTCTTTTGTGCATTCCAAGGAAAAGTTCTCATAAGTAAATTTGCAAGGAAGATATCCAACCTAGACTAGAGATTGTCCTTGAAGATAGCAGTCACCAGACAGAGTTTGTCCTCGACCTTCCTAGAGCGACGCGAGTAAAGAATAAAACGGTCTACTCGCATCGGAAGTTGTTGTTAGAAATATCCCCTCCAAAATAATTGAATTTGTGATGATCGATCTCTTACTGTTCATTTGGAAGAACATTACTGTAGTCTGGTTATTTATGTATTTAGGACAGGATGGAGGTGAGGGAAAACAGAGAAAAATTCAGAGATGTGAACTGTTTGAGTGCGCGCAAAGGGTCTGGGCGCTACGGGTACATAGCGGTGAAAATTTCTTGAAGTTTCACTTCAATACCACCGAATCACTAGAATGAGGACTTAGTGTCTCATACGAAGGTAAGTTAGGTTGGAAGAAAGTTCTCGGACATTTGCAGGGTAATTCTGCTATTTCTTGAAAGCTGATGCATGTAATGCGCGAAAATTTGTAGCTGTACCCTTTCTCATCTGTAGCTGATACCTAAACAAATGAGAAGAACTTAAAAACAACGGGGACGGAGTTTGCCACTGAGCTCAAATTCCATGAATATACTAAGTATGTAAGTATGTGCATACTATAAATTGGGGCACTTGAGTGTTACATAAGGTTTATGTAGAAGTAGGAGATCTGAATTAGTCCAAAATCCTATGTTTTAGAATTTTTGCCTGAATTTTCATTGTCAGACAAAACATTGGTAATGTGCTTGTACTTACCAAAAATCTGTAGAGATTGGTTTCCTCTATCCAACTGTGTGCATGCTCCAAAAATTTACATCAAAACAAAAATGTCGAAAAGCAATGTCCGAGAACTTTCCTTCAAGCTCATGCAATTGAGTGATATGTTTTAAATATTAGGTCGTTCCGAAAGTTCTTTCCAATTCTTCAACCTATCATAAAGACACGTGGAATGAAGGTAGGGAAACGCTTCAGGAACTATTCGACGCAGCTTTTCTTCCTCTTTTCAAACTTCATACATTTCTGCCCCTCGCTCTTATGGGTCAGTGAAATAATGGCTGAAATTTCGAACCCATGGTTTTCACCGTGTCCAAATTTGGCATTTTTCACAATCTTCTTTTTTGACTTTTGGAGAAGCTTTGATAGCAGTCAGATAGAGTAAACGAAGTGCAATTTAACGCAATTTTTCGGCATCTATGGCTAGCCTTGAAAATTTTTAAGAATTATTTCTGATGCATTAAATTCCACTTTTGGTGACGCCAAGAACCATAGAACATAAAACAGTGCACAACTAAGGTGTCATTCGATGCAGCTTTTCCTCCTCTTTCTATTGAGTATTTTTCTTTCCAATTTGCGGAGGTTTTTGGCGATAAATTTTCCATAATTCTTGATTTTGAACCCGCCTTAAGGTGTACACGTGAGATGCGAAATTTTGTATTTCGAAGAGGTAGACGCTTAGTTACTTTGTAAAATTAGTGGACAATCATAAACGCCTTTTGAAGCGTAGAAATCCGGAGATTTGTTAATGTTCGGAGCGTTTGTGTGTTTTGTGACTTCGAAGGAGAGAAGACTTCTGGAAAAGTTATCTCAAAAAATACTGACAAGCCAGTTGGAATTGCCAAAAATTCCTTTGAATTGCACTTTGTTTACTCTACCTGACTGCTGTCAGAACTTTTCCAAAAATTAAAAAGGAAGAGTGTGAAGAATTGCTAAAGTTGGACACGGTAAAAGCCATGGGTTCGAAATTCCGACCATTATCTCATTGATCGCAAGAGCAAACGGCACAATTATATGACAGTTGAAAAGAGAAAGAAAAACTGCGTCGGATAGTGCCTAAAGCGTTTCCCTATCTTCATTCCACTTATTTTTATGATAGATTGAAAATCGCAATAAACTTTCGGAAGACCTAATACATAAATGGAAGAAACTGAGAACGAGCATGGTCGCCCGAATTGCTATGGGTAGATTCCGTAGATGTACCAGAGAGAAATGGCTCAAGCTGCGGGAAAACTGTAGACCGAAGAGACCAGACGCTATGTAAAACCAGGAATACTTATGAGGTGACTTTCTAAATTTAAGGAAAAGGTTTGTAAACTAGACAAATAGAGCATGCGGGTGCATCAAGAGACTTAAAGGCAGCGTACACCCAAAATCTAAGTTGCCTAATTTTCTAGATTTTTCTACACCGTGTATATACTGGGCCCAGAAGAAGACCAACTGCGTTGGTCCGGTCTCCCAATGTTGCTTCTGAGCGGAGAAAACCCCCCTCAATTTTCTTTCACGCCGCCCCTTTTCTTTCGCTCCGCCTCCTCCGGACGAATCCATAACAGCGTAAGCTGCAATTGCAGTTGCAGTAGCTGTTGCAACATCTGTTGCATTTGTTTTGGGTGTACGCTGCCTTTGAAGGCAGCGTACACCCAAATTTCGCCTTCGATGTTTTTGTCATTCTGGGGCCTTTCCGTGCCCTTGATTACATTTATGAATTAAAATCCTCCAAAAGTCCCAAAAAACCCCGATTGGGACCTTCAAAGGGAGGACGAGCTTCGAATTGCTTGACCCCGTCGGCATGCCAGCGAGGAGCAGCTGCAACTGCATGACAACCTGTAATTGCAACTGCAACTGCAGCGCATGCTGTCGTGAATTCGTCGTCTGAAGGAGGCGGACCGCAAAAAGCAACTGCACTGTTGGAACTGCAGTTGCAGTTGCAACAGGATTGCAACAGCAACTGCAATGGCATCTGAGCTTACGCTGACGTGGATTTCGTCCGAAAGAGGCGGAGTGAGAGAAAAATCAGGCGGGTTTCCTCTGCGCAGGAGCAACAACGGAGACCGGACCAACGCAGTTGGTCTTCTTCTGGGCCCTAGATATACACAGTTTAGAGAATTGGGTAACTTAGATTTTGGGTGTACGCTGCCTTCAAAAACTTCTTGACCCTAGCAACCCCTTCGCTTTCGTCTTTCATAACCAAAGAGTATTTGAATAAGCTAGTTACATCCACTGTTTTAGCTTCTGCTCTAGAGCAATACAGTTCGACTTTTTCTTGAGATCCATCCAAAAAAAGAAAAAATAAGCAGTTACGTTCTATCAATTTATTCATACCTTAGCTCAGAGAGTGAGCTGAAGTCGAAAAAAATTGACACAGCATACAGCAACTAAAAACTTTTTTCGGATACAACATGAGTCGTTGTTGACTTAGAACCGTGTAGATTGTCAAGGCCTTTTTACTTCCGAGAAAAGGCATGGTGTTTATCAGCGATTTTTTTTTGCTGTGGGAGTGTTGTCACGTCACCATGACAGCTTTCATCATATAAAGTTAGCATTTTCTTAGCCACGTAACTTCTGTTAGAAATACCAACACAATGACGAAGAAGGTATTTCCTATAAATGGAAGGGGAATTACGGGAATATTCCCAGAAGATAGAGGGCGTCCTTGCTTAAAAAATGGCAGCGAGCCAAACTAAACACTCCTCGTGTAATCTGAAAATCCGAAAATTTAGCGATTTATTTTTGTCCCCGTCCCTTTCCGCTGCGGCCCTCATTATTAAGTAGGACAATTGTTCATAAAATTATGTCATAATCAAACCGCTGACATACTAAGGATTATACTTCACACATATTGAAATCCACAAACAAAGAGCATTCAAAAAAAAAAGAGAGAGATTATAATTATCCATTAGTCTTCTAAGAAAATGCACCGATAACTATCGACAGAAATCTGTCGTAAACAACGCAGAAGTTTTTGCATCAAAAGATCAAGGACGTTGGGCGTTGGGATTGCAACAAAGAAGAAGGGCTTCCAAATGCAATCTATTGCGATTAGCATCATTAAAACTGGATAGGTTCACGTAAATTGCAGAAATGGCGCACAAGTTTGCCTTTCGAACAGTTTTTGCCAACTAGAACGGGCGGCAGTCTCGAGGTTGATGTAAGAAATTCTTGAACGAATGAAGATTGCAATTAGTCCAAATGGGCACTGGTTAAAGTTAGTAAGCGCACATAATATCATTTTTCATGCAAGCATGAATTTCGCAGACTGTAATGGTCGCACATCATTACACAAAACGTTTTCTTCAAGCCATAGAGAAAAAGGTGTGAAGTAAAACGGCACAATTTCGCTCATTCACAGCTGCATTCAAAGTTAAGAGTGAGGAACAGAGAATTGTAACTGAAACACTACTACGAGGGCCCCCTTTCCAGAAACGGCCTATAGCTTGATGAGCCAATTGACAGCAAAAAGGTCACATCCATATGTTGGGAAATCTACTAATTTTGTACATTTCAGATGGTAAGTGTCTAGTAAACAAATCACTGCATAATTAAAGACGCAACTACTAATACTGGAGGTGAAAGAATCGGGACAATTCAAGCAGCAGTGCAGCTGCGTTCAACGGCGTCTGGTTCCATACAAGAATGATTGAGAGGGAGGATAGACAGGTACCGATTTTGAAAACCCGCAGTATGGCTTAGAATATGCGTACAATGGCCGCTTCTAGCCTTATTCATTGAGGAGAAAGTCAAACCCTTTTTCTTAGCTAGGCATGTGCTGTGTTTAAGAGTCAAGCGAAAATTGTCGAAGTTTCTAAGAGTATGACGCATTAAAACTGCGAAGGATGCTAACATCAAAGATTTTTTCAAAAAAATGGAAAAAGAAGTCCTTTATTGCCAAGAAGATAATGAGATGGCCACAGAAGCAATAGATCCTCTACATATGTCACCTTTCTTAGACTATCCAAAATTGCTTGAGCGAAAAAATTCACGAAATTGCAAGAAGATTATCCAACCTAAACTAGGGTTTGTCCTTGAAGATAGCGGTCACAGATAGAATTTGTCCTCGACCTTCCCAAAACGACGCGAGTAAAAATGAATTGCACTTGTAGTTAAGTGCGCATTTGACCAAGCCGCCACTGCTCAATGAAGCGAATTAAAATTGCTCACTTTTCGAAAAGGATTTCCAGGGAGAAAGGGAAACCGGTGATAGAAGGATGTACTTTCTTTGCGGTGGGAACTGAATTCCGGAAACTGATCATGAACGGAAGAATCGCTGTAAATGCAAGAATTTTAAGGTGTACACGATAGAAGAAAGGCGAAATGACTGAGTATAGTATGTACTGTGTGCATGTTAGAAATTG